GAATTTTAAGTACATATTCATAAAAATGATAATATTATTAGCTGTTTTTAGACACACATTTTCCATTAATTTAATTATTTTTTAATTAAATTATTTTTCAAGTTACTGAGAGAAAAAGAACAAGACTCAATATTAAAAATGAAATATACAATAAAACCGACAAATTGGAGTATTACAACGCTATATTTCATATGCAAAGTTACATATATAAAACATTCGATTTTATTTTTTTATTTAAATATAAAATAAATATGTATGAAATTTGTATATGAAGTATTGCACCGTATTCTTATTTGCCGACTTTATTGTAAATTTTATTTTTAAAATTCATATAATTTCTCATTTCTGATACTATAATCCAACATAATTGCAATGAAGAATCAGGAGTCTTAATAGAACAAAATTGCAGTCGAATGCAATTTTTATGACTTATACTGTAACGACTTATGACTGTAAGGTACATGAGAGGTAGCACGTTCGTAACATCTGTTACATTACAACATGTAATATATCGATAAGCTTATACTTTCCATATTATAGCTATTGCACAATATATACGCCATTTATCGTATAATAATAGATAAGATATAATGCGAGGTGCGCTGAATTTTTTGTATTTCGCAGTTCATAATTTACAAAGCAGACTGTGAACAAAGTACCATAAAATTACAGTAAGCGTTTATCTTACGACCAGGCACACTTTATCACATTCGTGGTGTAAATCCGATGCGACTGTAAGACAGAACTCGCATTCATTATAATTTATAATACATTGACTAGAGATACATAAATTATTGGAGTGAAAATATATGAATATCAAAACAATAACATATTTTGTATATCGTTCATTTTTCTCGATTATTGTTTTAGTTATAGAACAAGCTCATTAATATTACAGACATTAATTTGTTTATCAATTGCCTCGTAATTTCTACTAATAATTAGATAATTTTCAGATAAGTTTTTTTAACTTAGGCATCCTCTTGGGACATTTCTCTACATGGATATTCCAGTGACGAGTTTGGCATCTTTCGTCGCAGTAGAAGGCTGTTTCACAACCTAGGCATTTGAACATGGATCCGGTGAGGCCACAATTAGAGCACTCCAGATTACTCGTAGTTTCCAGAGTACGATTCACCTTACCCAGATGCGGCGTTTCGCAGTTACGATTCTCTTTCCGCACGGGTTCCTTGGCGGCCAACGCGTTATTGGACGCGTTATTGGACGCTAATATCGTAGTGGATTTGTACGTCGACGTGGGCACTGAGGATGCTACTGTCGGCTCCTGTGCGTTGTCGTCATACATCGCTGTAGACGATTGAGAATAAGTATCATCCGCTTTCACGTAAGGTAATCTATCCAGTATTAAATTTTGCAATTGACGGTAACTACCATTATTCAATCGCGAGTCTACATTGACGCCACCGACTGGTTGCATCTGTTCTTGTGGTAAACGTTCGCGATTTGTCACTCTATTCGTCATTAGCTGTGAAGATTCGTTATCCATAACACCGCTGATTCCTCCAGGTACCATTTCTGTGTCAGTTCTTCCGTAGGATGGTAGCGTACCACGCTGTCGGCCGAAAGAAGCTGCCGCAACCACTGCAGCAGCTGCTGCTGCAGCAACGACATCCGGGATCATCCTATTTCTGCCGCATTGACCATTGCTCGCGGGGTAGCCAGCCAAGGAAGTGCGAGCCAAAGATTGCTGTGCGGAGGCTGGTAACGGTGGAGGTGGCGGTAACAACAGTGGTGGCAAACAGGTCGACGTGGTACCGTTTTGCGTAGCAGCCGTCGTCGTTCTCAGACGATCGTAGTCCAAGCCGGCAGCAGCGGCAGCTGTCGACTGATAACCGCCCGCGGATAAAGTACTGGAATATTTTAGGAGATCCGCGGTAAAGTGACGAGACGCCGAATCCTGCAGATGAGTAGGATAACGCTTGTCAAGATGTTGCATCTGACGAAGTGAAGCTGCGTGCGAATCTTGCAAAGGACCTAATTGGTAGCCACTTATCGGCGGTGCGGTAGCGTGCAGACGTGAATGATAGGGATAATCGCCGTAAGGACATACCGCTGAGTGGTAGCCAAAAGCCGCACCGTAAGGTTCGATCTGCAACGATAAACTAGGTAAATGATTGAATGATGAGGTAACTACATATATTGTGAACTAGATACTTAGTTCTCTAAGCGATTGTGAAATAAAATCGATATCTAGTAAACGCGTTTCGTTTATATATTGATTAGTCCATTGATCTTCTTATCTCTTACCGCATAATTCGGGTAGAACTGGGTAACTGAGATAGGTGGACAGATGCCCGGTCTCACTGGAGGTATAGCTGATGATGCATACATTTGTTGCTGACGTTGCTGATACTGCTGACGCTGCCACCTTTCCGTATTCCATTGTGGCGCTACGTTGACTATGTTGTTTCGAGTCGTATTACTTGGTGCATTTGAACGGATCTTTTGCGCCTCCACTCCGGGAATCTGTTCGCGGAGGAACAGTAGAAAATTCGTTAGTAGAAAATGATTCATCGAAATAATTCATCGAATGAATTGGTGAAAATATAACTTACGCGAGCGACCTCCGCCGTTGATGCGGTTGGTAAACTTATTCCAGATTGTAATTTAGATTTCGATTTAGTAGCTTGTTTCTTCGACATTCGCGCTACCCAATTGCCCAACGTAGGAAATTGCTCCGTCATAATACGATTTCCATCATTTCGCTGATTGGTATTCTCCTGAGTGACTCTGTTGCAGCTATTAGGCAGACTAATATATCGATTGCGTGAAAAAACATGTTAAATTCCACATATATAGATCAAACTTAGAATTATGTAACACGTCATATATTATACTTACACAATACATTGTTGATTTGAGCTGCTAACAGTAGATCTAGATTGAGCAAAATTCAAAGGTATTGTTGAATCCAAAGCAGCAGATTGACTCACGCTTGATGTTACCTAAAATTACGCAAAATACGTTTTAACTATAAAACTCGGATCAAAATTATTTTTTGTAAATGCTCGAGTCTTTCATCGATAAAAAGAAAAAAATAAATACATAATTGTTAATAATTAATAACAGCATGGCGTAATACAGGATTTATAATATTAATACAATTTATTTATTAAATTATTACATATAATAATTTGTAAATTTATCAAAAAAAATATATAAGATACAATGACAATAAAAAAAAATTAACTGGCAATAAATTAATATAGATATTAATATAGAATTGTGTTCCACACAATTGTATTTTTCATAGAAATATAGATGGTACATGCAATTTTATGGAGTTCGGTATTTTATGGCAATTGTGTGTTGTGACTTATTAATCCATAATTTTTTACAGATTACCTTCTGTACGTCCCTTGAATTTTTGATGACGTCTGTGAAGACAACGTTCTCGCGTGCGACAGACGAGCCGTAATAATTCGACTGTAGTTGCAAAATGTTAGTCACATTGGCGGCGGGTACTTGTCTGACCATCTCTTCCTGTGCAGCTGTAACTGTACTCGTGACTACTCTATTCTTAACATTGATTCTCTCTTCTGAGTAAGTTCCGTATTTCATCGTATTTCTAGTATCCTCCACGATCGATGGACTAGATGGTAAAGCTTCGTTCGATTTCTGTTCCAGCTTCTGTTTCTCACAGGCGACTTGTTTGTTTTCGGTTTCCGAAACCTGTGTTACTTCGTCGAGATGTCCCTGAGTGATAGGTCTTTCTTTCATGTCTCTCATTTCACTTCCATCTATTTCGAGATCCATTGTCGGATTCAGAAAGCTGTCTGAAGGCATCGTCGGTATTTGTCGATGTTTCTCAATATCGCTAAACGTTTTAGTATCCTCCGGAATTTTCTCCTCGATTTCCGGATTCTTCATTTTCGTCAAAGTTTCTTCTTCGTTCCACTCCACTGTACTGTTTCTCGGATCTTCAAACTCGGACGATGAAACCGGAGATATAGTTGGCATTGTTATATCGTCGTGTATTATCGTTTGATCCGTATCATTCACCTTGACTTCTTTCTCGATTGGCGAGCTCGGCGAGCTATCGCCTTTATGCCAGCTTTTGGTGACGACCAAATTTTGCTTCAGACATTCGAGAGCATTCGGTTGGATTGCTATGTAAACTCTGGGTAATACTGGTGGACTGTCCCTCACTGCGTCAGGCGATTTGCCTTTCTCGTAATCGATGGGAGAACGCGGCGACAATTTCGGTGGTTCCGGTGAAGGAGACGGAGAAACGCTGCTTCTGGATATTCCATTCATCTTTTCAACATAAATATATTAATTATTTATGATATCATATGAAACAATCGATTTTTTTACAACATACATTTTCATCTATCGAATTACAACCCGAAGGCTTTTCAGCAAGGAAGAAGGAAAAGGGTGTTAAAAAGGGATGGATTTCTGTTTAAAAATTCGTAACTAAGGCTCAGTTTCATAACTCACGGTTAACTGAGATTTAATCGATTTAATCAAGGTTCAACTTATTTCTCATCTCTTTCCAATTCTAGCATTAGAAAGAGATGAGGAATAAGTTAAACCTCGGTTAAGAGTTAACCATAAGTTGTGAACTGGGCCTAAAAAGAATAGTGTTTTTTGTAGATTTTGGCCTCCTGTAATATGTGTGTGTGGATGTGATAAAATTATTAAAAAGTTTGTAATATTTAGAAAACATTTCAACAATTCAGCATAAACATACATATATACATCATATATCCAAATTTCAATAATCTTGCTTAATTTTCCCAAACACCACGAACTTTTTAATAACTTTATCATATTGAAGAAGTCAAAATCTACAAAAAACACTATTCCTTTCTTTATATTTTTTTCGGACAAAATCGATGTCTTTTTAATTTAAGACTCATCTTTTATTTTATTCTGAGAAGAGCATTTTATTTTCAATTTCTGTCATATTCTATTTACCTGCTCGACATCACTGTCAACAGCAGTTTTCTCAGCTGACGTCAGCTCGTTCTCATAGTCAAGATCAACAACAACGTCGTCAGTCGTCGGAATAGAGGCGGACAACTTGCACAGCAGCTTCGAGATGTTCTCGATTTGCTTCTCGTAGCAATTCATCATCTGCCGCAGCCGAGTGTTGCGTTGCGGGCTCATGTCGGTGGCATTATTGCACGCGGTCATCTCCCGCGAGAGCTCCAACGCTTTCCCGCGAAGTTCCCGTAATTTCTGGCGCAACCGGTTGCGACGGTACTTGATCTTGTAGCCGTCGCTCTTCGGCGAAGATCGCCGACTCTTATCCCGTGTGTTGTCCGACAATTCGAGTTCGTTCTCCGAGGCTTCGCTGCTCCAGAAAGAAGTAGTGGAGTATCCGGACGGAGATTCCGGACGTGGCGTGGCGCCGGTGACAATGCGATAATTGGACTCGCTTCCTATCTCAGAGTTCACTTCGATATTATGTCGATATTCGTTAGTGGTGCTCGCTGAGGATAAAAATAAATAAATGATAATGATGTATAAAGAAACCTACATCTCTTGAGTGCATTGAGTGAAATATTTTTTTATTAAATTATAGAATAAAAAATTCATCAATTGAGTACCTCGTGGTAGAATTTCTTTGTACAAGAATTTCGATAAATAATCTAAATTAAATATTGACAAATTTATTCATGTTATAATTAAATACATTAAATACCGTACCTTCACGCACAATCTTCTTCAGTCTTAAAGGCGGCACGACTTTGTTACAGATTTCCTTCTTTTCTGTCTCCGGCTCCGTCGTTGACACTTCCACCGGTGACGAGTATCTTTTGTCGGGTATCCCGAGACGAGAATCCCACAGCCTCACTAATACATGTTGCTGCAATTTTCTTTCTCCTTTGTCGGCCAAATTACCGGAATAAGTTTTGGAGTACTCTTTTAAAATATTTTTGATGCGTTCGTCGCGTACATGGCCGGCATCGACTTCATGGGATTTTCTCCGCTTCTTCACATCCTTGGTAATTTCTTTTTCATATTCCTTGTCCCGATCTTCGCTATTTTTTCTTTTAACGCTGTTGATCTCTTTCGTAATCTATAACGTGCGAATCATCGCCAATATCAACAACATCGCATTAAAGCTGATAGTTAATTTTAATTTCCAATTCCGATCCGTAGACAATCCGTAAATCATTTTCGTATGAAAATTTAAATATGCAACATGTATCAAATTATTTATGGATTAAAGAATTACTAGAGGGTCTTACGAAATAATATTGATTTGTCATAGTTTTATTGCTCTCTACATGACTTACGTTAAATTTGACTAATCAAAAGCAAGCATTATCTATGGATCGAAATACTCTTGCTTATTAAAAGTATAGTATACTCGAAAATAATCGTTTTCTTTTTGAAAGGGAAAAAAGAATAAGAAATGCTCAATGTTACCTGCACGACATTAGTCATGTCTGGAAGTATGTAGTCCGAGCGATCGATGAACTCGCCTGTAAGCATCATTCCGTTTCCGTTTCCATCCTGCTGCCCGAAAGGGAATTTGTTCAACTCGTTCGTCAAGGAGCTGCTCGGAGATACATTTGATTGCAACTCGACCACGTCCAAGCTCGCGGATTTCGACAGCTTGAGAATTGGCGAACGTGTCTTCCGCAACGTTACTATCGACGCTGACCTCGTCGGTGTCGGCGGCGCTGGTCGGATCGGTAGGGAGCGATTAGGCTGCACGGGGATCACGCAAGGACCACGATCCCTCAAGGCGGTCGCCAAACTGCTACCCGTGCTACCACGTTGCTGCAATCTGCTAGAACTATCGGCTATCATGATGCGAGGTTCTGGAAAAGAGCGAAATTTATAATTACCTTTTATTTACACCTTTGACACGACAGAGGAACATCTATTCTAAATCTATTCTAAAATGTCTGGAATCACTTTAAAAGAAATTCTCATTTAATGAATGTATTTTAATTAAATCCTTTTTAAAAATAGTCTTTTGTTTTAAATGTTAATTTTAATTTTACTTTCAAAAAAGCTACTTGTTTTAATAATATTAATGAAATTTATTTTTAGCACACCATCTTCTTAGAAGCTATTTTTAAACGAACAAAGTCTTAAATGAGCATGATTTCGAACAATATGTTTTGAAAGACTATATTTAATCAAGATAAATGTAAATTGATTTGAACGAAATTTTTATTGATTTTTATTTAATTTAATCTAGTTTTTAACATCACTAATTTAGTTTGTAGCATCAAAAATTTTAATTCTCAAGACGTTTTTAAAAAAATCCATTAAAAAATATAAACTTTTTATACTAAAATATTTCTTCAGATTCCATATTCTTTGGAGAACAGCCGTGAATGAAAGGAGAAGCACGAACTTCTTTTTATACTTGCACATAATTAAAAGCTGTACGTTGAAGAAATAATGAAGATTGGACCGGTTTATTCATACTTGTACTAATTGATTTTTCTGCGAAGATAAGGTAGTTATATTTTATGCGATTGTTTCTAAACGTAGCATACATTTGTAACAATATATTATCTACACTTAAACATATATTCGATATCGCAGCTATAGATCAACGATGTATTACTTAGGCAACGATTACTTAGGTAACATATCGCTGTTCATTATCACGTTCTCACCCGATATTTCCGAGCTTTCCTCGGCTTTGCTGAATCGTTTTAAAATTGTCTGTTTCCAGGTAGCTTGCTTAGACTCCTCGCTGGTTAGATCCACGAGAATTGGTGCTTTTTCATGCTCTGTCGAAGCGATTGTGCTCGATGTTAAGGCCGTCTCACCGATGTCACTCTCATAATAATCCAGATGTTCCGCCAGTTCTTCGTCTTGGTCGCTCATCAAGTTCTCTTCAGTCTTGCGTATCTTCGCGGTAGCGATGACGTTATCCTGCTGCTGCAGTTGACACTCCACGCAATCCTTGCATGTGGCGCACACATCGACCTCATCATCTTCAAGCTCTGTCGAGCTGGAAATCCGCGGACAAGCCGTCCTTTCTTCGTTACTATTATCACTGTTCTCGCAGAAGAGTTCGATGATATCACAGGCGATGACATTGGAATCGTTCGCATCGATAATTGTGGAACATTCACCGAATCGTGGCAAGCTCTTCTCGCTATCATTAGACTCGTCGCGTGTTTTGTTACGGGATATCGTGATCCTGGGCCAATGAGCTCTGGGTGCAAGCGTCTGATTGGATTTATCTTTCTTCCTCTTCCGCGGCTTTAGCGCGATGGTCATGTGTTGATTGTGCGATTGCATTCTTCTTATGCGTTATGATCGAGTAAATGAGACTCAAGGACTTCTCCGAAAGTTCGATAAATGGTTCGCCGGAACATTTCGTGTCCATTTAAAATTATTCAGATGAACGGCATTCTCCTCCCTAGCATTCGCGAGACACGCGCTGTAGTAATAATTGTGGTTGAAAGAGGGTGGGGGAGGGTTGAAAGAAGGGCAATTAAGTATTAAAGAGCTAACGGTATACTTTAACAGTTTTGGTCGATGAAGTTGAACAAAGTCTCGCGATGCAAATAATATATATGGGGGAGCAAAGAGACGCTCGCGCTCGCGAAAGGGAAAACAATAATTGCGAAGCTTCGTGCGCTACATGTCAACCATTCTATATAGTGTTTTTTTTTCTTTTTTTTTTCAGAAGTCTCCTATCGATTCTCATCGATCGTTTCTCGTACGCACCATGCATCGAGTCTTTCACTTCGCATTTATGGTAACAGAACACACGAAAAAGGGAGAAATTACGTTTCGCACGCGATGCACGCCTCCCTTGCCCTACCTTCTCTTTCTGTTGCCGAACGCATTTCTTTTTTTTTTCTTGCACGGAAATTCACGGTCACGCCGAAGAAGTTGAAAGCGAACCCCTCGTGGCGTCGATCGAAAATTGAAAAAAAAAAAGGTTTTTACTAAGAACTTTTTTCGCTGTAACACACATGCATATGCATAAGATGTAATTACCATACATTTAACTTAATATTGCGAATATAATTATTGAACGATAATCAAACATTTAAGCAAAATTACCGATAGTGCCAGTATGAAAATAGAAACGAGCTCATAGTTTAGATTATGAAATTGATGGTATTTTGCACACATTTATAAAACCTTCAACGATATCTATTTTTACAATTATTTAGTTATTATATTATAGTTACAAAATGAGTGGTAAGCGACTTTTCTATTTATTTAAATTAAATAATTTAAACTAAAAATAGAGATAAATGTATGAGTAATATTCTTTTTAATTTTCACCATTTACTTCTAATTTAAGAGCATCCTGTATTATTATATATATATGATTAATAATTATATTAAATAATGTTTTTAATTTTATGATTTTATATGTGTATATAATGAACATTATAATATGTTTTAAAGAATATTTCCTTTTTTCGCAAATGATGTTTTGTTTATGCATACATAATTTGAATTTTATGTCATTTCTTTCAGGTAAAAAACATGATAGAACTTGTAAGAGAATTATAAAAAAAATATTTAACGTTACCAGTCAGGAAACTTTGTTCCCATTTATCGAGGTCACGCTCTCAATTTTGATAATGAAAGAAGTACGGATGTGCAAATTACTTTTGCAAATTATCTTTGGCGACGTTAAATGAATATAGTACAATTGTGCAAAATTATGACATCGACACGTCATCAAAATCTACACAGATAAGGTACTATTATATTTAATTTACAGTTGCTAAGATATGTGTTAAAACATGTGTATTATATATCATAATTTTCATATCAGATCAAAAACAAATATTCCTCTGCTACATAACGACGAAGCTCACGAATGCAGGTTTACTTCTCGTTATCTTTCTATCGTTGCTTTCAATCGTTAGCATCTGCGAGTTAATGTATACTCCACACCGAATTACATCACCAATATCATTGCGGCAGGAATTATGTGTCAGCTACCCACTCATCGGAGACGTCACCGATCCTACGATAATGTAAAGCTCACACAACTTGCTGCTCTCCTTCTCTTCTATTTTTCTCTTTTCTTTTATAGACATCTATTTCCTTTGAATCATAATAATATTGCGCCTTCTTTTTATCCTCCTCTCTTTTTCCATTCCAATTTATACAAAAACTTGCACAAATTTTCACAATTTTTAATATAATAATACCTCGCATCATCTAAAATCTATTCGAAACTTTTACAGCGATAATGAATCGGAAGCTGAACTCGCTATCCTCTTGTTCATTCAGTGTCACACGGATCTACCGAGCCGCGGCGAACGTCATCCAACGCGCCTTAGAGACGACGTCCATAATACTTCCTCACGTGTGTCATACGAGCTATAATATAGACTGTCATGCGAAGGAGCGAGCCGGCCGGCGAAGCGATAGAGCAATATATTTTTCCCCCTCTATTTAACACCACACGCGTGTCGGCTGGCTCTCTTTCGGGAGCTCTTCGATGCGACATGCGTATTTCAATTGGCCGTTCAGGACGCGCATCCTCTGGCGCAGACGGAAGGACGATCGGAGAAGGGACACGCAAGTCGATCACGTTGATGTCTCCACGCAACTACTTTTTTTTTTTCAACTCCGTCGCGCGCCTCCACGACTACATTCCCGAGAAATTTATTCTTTTTGAAGGTCAAACCAAGAAAGTTTAAAAGTCCTCGAAACTTAACGAGATTCAGTTCCGGAAGTCTTTTTTTCATGTCGCTGTGAAAACCATTGTACAATATTCAATACTTATTTTACTAACCATCGTAAAACATATTAGGTCGCATTACAGGCAACAAAGTTGCTAATGGTTTACTTATCTACAGTTTTATGCGGTTGTACGGTCGTTCAAGGATTAACGATAAGTACGTGACGATAAAAACGCGGCTGGTACCATCGTAAAACTTGACGCTTCTCTCCGTTTTGATTTATGTTTTCTATGAGTATCGACATAAATATAATTTTATATAGTCATCATTATCATCTTAAATCGTAAACTAGATTCTGGACATTGATCTCTTCGAAACAAAAAGAAATAAATAGCATCAACGTCGAGCGAACTATCTTTTTTTATTAGATCTGTTTTTACAGGGCTTTGACTAGATCGAGTCTCAAGTACACATAAAACTCGTTCGCGTCGTAACAACGGCATTCCAAGTTGGAGAACTCGTTCCGACGTCATCGCTAAAGAAAAAAATGAAATAAAATAAAATTTCTACAGCTTTTTCTAAATCGTGGCCGGCTCGGAAAACTTTTGAGCGCCTCGTCAATACAAAGGGGATGTATGCTTCATGCACCCCACGCTGATAATGTTAGCGTGACGCGTATAACCAGGCGACAGAACCCTTTCGCAGAGAGAAAAGAGGCTCTTTCATAATTTACCGGTCCACTTACAGGTATCTTCTTTGTAGTTCTGCGTTATATAAGCTAGCTTAGTTAGTGTACGTAGTGCAACCTTGTGCTACCCCACCTGGCGTCCAAGAGAGTCTGGCGTCGTTTCTTTGAGTAGTACTTTCTACCGAACGTAATATAGTTTCCGAAGAGAGGAGAGGAGGATCTCTTTCGATCGCACGCTCGTCTCGAAGGATTACTTACGAAAATGTCCAATATTACGTCATGCTCCATATTGACATTCTCAGAAACGTACAAATGTATAATTAATTAGAAAACGATCTCTAAATGTCGTGCCACGTCCAACGTTAATTAACCGATAATGAACAATGGACGATGATAACGAAAAAGATATAGCAGCCGTTTTCTTTGTTATGACAACGACACGTGCAGCGATGTGAACGATGAATGCTATGTCTATAGATAGATCTTTACAGCAAAACGTATGCCTTTGCTGTGTCGGCGATATCTACGTCCGGGTATATAAGGGTCATCGACATATTCTCCTTTGCGAATATCGATGAAATCCGGACAAGATCGGCCGGCTCTCGAAGAAATCGTCGGCTCGCTCTCTTCCTGGAAGCTCTACCGGTGACAACCTATCTACGCTTATAATGTATACGCTTATAGAAGCTACAGTGAGAACAAAAAGTATTCGTCATTAAAGGAAATTTGTTATAAAAAAAAATCTTATTTGTAGAAAATAAACATTAATTAGCAATTTTATATAATAATATCTGTTCTACATAAACAAACAAGCTTCGCATGTATTCCTGATTTTAGAAGCTAAATTTCTCGTCCGTACGAATACTTTTCGAGTATTCAAAGAATACAAATTTTTATTTTCGCTTATTTTTCAGATGATATATTTTGTATAATTAATATACATTTTTTTGGTATATATAATTTTAAGAAACATACAGTCAATTTTATTCTTTATGAATAAAATTATCCAACAAAAAATGAATTGACGTCAAATTGATGTTGAAATTATCATATTTATATCGATTCATCAATTCGATGACTCATTTCTCACTGGATAAAATTTACTTTTTAAAAGTAGTTTTTTTTAAATATTTTCTTAATTTAATAATTTTCTCTGTACGAATACTTTTTGCACTCAATGGATATCGATTGAAAAGTTTCGTGGACCTGACAAATTGCTCGATTTCGCGTTAATATCCTTTGAATTCTTATCGAACAGTGAACACTAGAGAATAGGATAAAGACAGATAATAGATATTTCCGTAATTTGAATTATATCGATCTGCTTACGCGAAATTGTTCCTTTGATAAATAAGCTCAAAAAATTAAGCGCCTATTTCGAGAATGTAATTTATCTTATTAGGTAGATGATCATTCATCGAGAACCGGATACTTTAATAAGAAAACTGTCGAGAAGATTTATTTTTAACTTATCAAGATTGGATTACGTAAAGCTATAGAGTAATAGTGAATAATAATTATTGAATATATTCAGTCTAAATAAAAAAGAACACTCACTTAATATTTGGAGTTTCAGAACAGTCCGCTTTGCTTATCATTCCTTGATGACGGTGATCAGACCATTATCCTTCGCATGGAATCCTGCCAGGAGATCTGCGCTATGTTCGCGGGAATCACGGTGAACCTACGATTCCATCCAGGCGTCATCAGCTCATCTGGATGACTTTCGCGTTTACTTGGATCGCACATCGAAAAATTCACTTCCAATTGAGCAAACGTGTCAAATCTTCTAATCACTGAAGTACTATTTCCACCACTCAAAACTCAACTAATTATATAATATTTACAAATTAAAAAAAAATGACAAGATTTGATATTTAATTTTCATTAATCTCCATTGATTCTTCATTTTAGCGTTTAACTCCGAGATGATATTCCTATTTATAAATTAGGAGACGTAGTAGATTTATGTTATCGATAATCCATCACGTCGTACTTCGGACTGTCCCGTCTGTATAATCCGCCGTATGTAATTTCATGTCCACGACGATGATGCGGCGACGTTAATGCATCGCGCGCAACGCGACGCGACAGACCGATGCGTCGAAGCCGGTGTGCAGCACGCGAGTGTGATCGGCGCATCGAGGTACAACATAGCAGCGCCACGTGGTACGCCGAGGTCGTTACCGTGGGGGCTGTCGTCGTTAGAACTCCCCCTGGATCAACGACGACGGCGAGGTGAGGGCGGCGACGACCTACACCCATCAACGTCAGCGAATCCTCTTCGCGGACTGGATACTCGACTGTAAACTACAAGATGTTGATCTCTAGAAATTATTAATTTTCATTTAAATAGTTACATTTATAGTATCAAAGGCAAATAAATACTCTATGCAAGAGATAAATTGGAATATATAATATGACACAGTGTCGAAAAAGAGTGATATGCCTCGAAATTGAAAAATGATAGATCGAATGAATCTTTTTTGCCCTTCTTTGTATAATTGTCATAAAATTTATTTTATCGAAGCAAATAGTAAATTGCTTTGATAGTTTAATTAAAAGGCAATTATTAAAAATATAAAAAGAATAACTTTTATAATTATTAAGTTCCAAACTGTCCCATTAAATAGAATATTGTATTATTTATAATTATTTTTTACTTAATAACATTTAACGTGAAGTGACTGTTAACATCAACTATTTTTGTAGCGACTCGTTGGCGGTCATTAAAGTTTAAAAAAAACGTAAGTATACTTAAATATGATAAATTATTTATCATTGTAGTCGGTGTACTGGAGGTAGCGTTTGAAACATAATACTCGGTTTTTATATTTCATAAAAAAATTTTTTTCACAGGAAAGAACACACATTCTGTTATCACAAGCGTGAAGACTCCATACAATCTGATCCTTTCAAATTAGATCGACTATTCTTCCTCTCTAGTCTCATCAAGGATTGAAACTTAGAGCTATATTTAACTCACGGGCACGTAAAGCACGTCTCTATACGACAATCGATTGTCTTTTGTCTCGAATTGTCTATTCGAAGAATTCTTAACCATTAATTTGCACGAAACTTTTAACCTTCGATATTGATCAAATAATTATTATTATATCCATAAAGTTGATACGCCATTTCCTAGTTAGACTTGAGTTATTCTACAATGTTCTGTTTGTTTATAATACGATGCGATGCGCAAATTTACATACAGAAAGAAGAAGAAGGACATGAAGAAATAAAATACATTAAGAAAAAAAAAGAAGTACAAGAAGAAAAAAATGATAATGACTAAAAACAAAAAGAAGTGATGACTCATGTTGATGAGAAATAAATTACATGCGAAAAGAGAATATAGCTCTAAGCTATCTTGAGTATGAATTACGTTCTCATGGCAACTGTTGGCGGGGAAGGTCAAGTGTAGGGGTGAGATCGTGTACGTGAGGGCGATAGCAAACGGGGTTGCAACGTTGGATATATTGTGGTGCGACAATTTTTATTACGTAAATATTTTGATATTTACCTTACTGGCTACCTCAAAAATGTAGACATATTGCAGATGTGTGGATTTTACGCGGGGTACACACGCAACAGTTTCTTCTATCTTCCGGTAGCAATCATTAATCGATCGTTTTTAAAAAAAAAAAGCAGGCGCATTTCAAATAGCGTGAACCTGTTTTTATCTATCTTATCTGACTACAGTGTATCGTCGTGGCCTCCGCTTAATTTCGCTCACGCGATAGGTGTACGCATACGTATCGATAAATGTAATTTCACGAACATCGCTTACGAAGAAAAAAGAGAGGGAGAGTTTCTCCTTTTTTCTTCTCGTTTTTTTTTGTTTGCCTCTCTCTTTCATGCAACCATTCTTATTTTATAAGATAGATAGAATAACGGTACGTTATGTGCTATGTACTTTTTCATGCAATTTATTATATATTCCTCGCGATTGCGAGGGAGAGAATTCATATAGGGTGAGATGATACAATTTAGAACATGTACAATTCTGAATATAAAATTTGAATTCAAATTCAAGGGTCAAGTCTGTTAACCTTGACCTTATATATTGTAGTGTGAAGGGTTTTAAAGAGAACTATCCCAAACAGAAACCAAACTTAAACTCCGAAAATTAAATTCAAATCTTATTTCATTTAGAATTGTACTATAAATTCAAAATTATCACTTTGTGCATTTCGACGACAATTTTATTAATTCCTATCATCACTGAATATTCTATACAGCATCATTAAAAGAATGTTGAAATGTTAATGTTTCTTCAATACAGAATCTACATTTCACGATGTTGATACAAATTTTTTGCTGCAATGTTGCAGCTTTCAATGTTTCTAAAAGATGTTGATTCAACATTAATGTGCTGTATGAATATTGTACGAATTTTTTTAACTTTCTTTCTAGTGGTCTTCACTGTATCTCATCTGCAAAAATATCTTATGGCTCGTTATCGTCATCCGCTCGCAGTAGACGTGAAACGTGATCCTGCAGATAACACAATCGGCCACCTGTATTCCCATGCGGCGTTCATAATTCTTTCTATCGAACAAACAAAGGAACGGTTACTCGTCAGCAAACAGTTAACGACGTTCGCTCGACGCGGTTGCCGCGTTCCTATCAAGTTACTCCGAACCTTTTCTCACCTTTCATCGCTGGTGTCAATAGTGCCGCTCGGCACAATTCCAGACGGAGGCGATAACGCGGCGTCCCAATGAAAGAATGCGATCCTGCACGCGAGATCCTGCGGCCGTTGTCTGGATGACATAAGTGACATTTCCTCTCCCCGGCTAATTCTAACACGTACATCATGTCGACCAAGAACGTGGTACGAAGGACGAAATCCAGCAATCTGAAATATCGCGGCGACTCCAGATTTCCACCGGGTATATACACGATCCATCTACCGTCGACGTGCGAGCATACACTTGGAAATAGGCCGATTCATCTGAAAAGAAGTAGTGCGTATGAAGGAAAAGAGGTAATGCAGTTTACATCGAGAGGATAATCACTAGTTGAAATATTGTCTCACAGATTACATGATTTCATATGATTTCATCTAATTACAAATATTTTTTTTTCACCACATACGAAATCCTTTGGTAAAATATACAATTTTATTTAATATATTATATAATGATTCCTCGTTGCATATGTAATTATCGGATTGTACATAGAGATTTCATATGAATTTTATAATAATTGTGAAAACTCTGTCGAGATTACATTAAGGGATATGTCTACCCTAGCGGGTATAAAAACAGTAATAAATTCAAAAATTTTTTTAGTTTAAAAAATAATTTTATATAAAATCAAATTAAAGCACTAGTTATAGTGCATATATTAAAGTTCATAAAATAACTTTTTTATATTTTTTTTTGCATCCAAAATAAAGGCGCTATTAGTTTTTCTCAAAATCGGTTTTCAAATCGGCTTGACAAATAACTTGAATAATTTTTATCCGAATGAGTTCGAATTTTTTAATATTGCAACTTCTTAGACACATTCTGACCACTAGAAAGAAGTAAATAGGAATTTTTCGATATATAAAAAACTTTTTATTTTATGAACAGTTTTTTATAAAATTTTTTTAGCAAAAAATGCAAGTGTGACTTAAAATACCTGCCATTTTTGAAAATATCAATATTTTCACAAACCCCTATGTACTCTAGGTATTTTAATGTACATTAAAAAAAATTTTTTTTTGCTCTAGGTCAAAATTTGTGGATGCTAGATGTAAAATCTCGGAGCAAAAAAAAACGTACTAGATTCTGTCATCGGTAGCGTCATCATTTTGGATACAAAATATATAAAAAAATTTTTGTGTGGATTTTAATATATGCACTAATCAGTGATTTAATTTGATTTTAAATTATTTTTTAAACTACCCCGCCCCCCCCCCCCCCAAAAAAAACAAACTGTGGATATGACTTAATTCCTTGTTCGTTATAATTACTGCTGTATTAAATAAAAAAATTTTGAAATGTCTCAGTTAAATTCATCTGTAAAATTAAAATAGTTTTATAAAATATTGATGGTAGATCGGGAAAATAAGGGATAAGAGCGGCACAAGGAAATATTTGATTCCTTCGAAGGAGCCTATGGTCTACCCAAAAATCATGACAAGAAAGGAATACGAAGACCTAAAGGAACGCAGCCACGTGATCACAAAGGAGGAGAGACAAACGGCCGTAGAAACCGCGGAGAAAGAGAAGGAGAGACTGATGAAAGAGAGCTTGGCACGGAAAGAGGCAATTCGCGTTATGGACTTGAAAAAGGATCGTGAGAAGGATCCAAGAACGAGAGAGATCGAGGAGGAGGCGAAGAAAAGGACAATGCACATCCTCGAGCGGGCGTACAACATGCGTTTAGATCAAGAGGAGGAGATACAGAAGTGCAATCGTTTCATCTTGGCAACCAAATGCCGAGCTATCCGCGATGCTCAAGTAAATCATCGATTTTATAACAGAATCCCGTATATGACATAATATCTTGGTGATGTCTAATTTTTATACATTTAGCTATCCATTTGCAGATCGCAGAAAAGAAATTGATAGGACAAGAACTTCTCGAGGAGGAGAAACGATTGAATGACATGATAGAAGAAGAGAGGAGATGGGCAATCAAAGAAGAGTCGCGAAAGGAAGAAGAAGAGGCGGCCAAAAGGCTACAATTCACTAAGATTTTGAAAGAACAGATCATAGAAAACGAGGAACAACGAATCCTCGAATTTGAGAAAAAGCAGGAAGAAAGCCGACTTATCAATTTAAATAATATCGCGTGGCAGCAAGATGAGATCGAAAAGCTACGCAACAAGGAGATTGAAAACGCAAAGGTGCGACAGGAACTTGCAGAAGGGAACGAACAATTGAAACATTTTAAAGCTATGGAAGAGGAAGAAAACAGAATTATAGATTTAAGGTGTATTTTTCCAAAGCTTTTAAAAATCACGTATCAATTTTTAAAATTAACTACCTTAAAACCATCTCTTTGATATTTCCTTGAAAAAATATGATTCTTATCAAATTTAACTTTTTAGGATACAGAACTATCATCGACTAAAAGAAGAGAGAGAGATAAAAAAAGCGGAAGAGCAGAGATTAGAAAGATTGAAAAAGGAACGAGAGAAAATCAGAATAGGGATGCAAGCGGTGCAAGCATACGAGCTTCAGGTATTATATGTCGAACTTTAAAACTTCGCAACATAAGTATATCTATTATGTAAGTTACATTATTATTAGATATAAAAGTTACAGATAGCAGTATATTATATAAAAAATTCTAAAAAATACAAAATATATTTTATAAACTAGAAGATCATGAATTTTCGCTAATGTAAATGCAATAATTTGCGCAATATATCATATTGCATTACACATATCATTCCATATACTTCTTCTATAATTACTTACATACATCCTTGCGTGTCTCAACTACCTGTTGTCGAGGGTCAATGAATCCACGAGCACCACGTCAGGCCTCGCTATCTACAACGTGTTCTCCTTTCGAAATTGCGCTTCGCGTTTTTTTTTTATCGTGATTATTTCTGTTGAACAGGGTATTAAGTGCCATACATCGCACTCTAATACTCTTTTTGCAATTAAAACTATTAACGAACATAATAGATCAGTCCTGTTTTTCTGACGTCTTTTTTTAATGCGTAATATATCATAATTTATTTCAAAGAAATCATTTAATGAGTAGTAAATAATAGAATAAGTTATTAATAACTGCGGACAAATCGCGGCGATAAATTTGCAGGCGCAAATTGATGAAATCAACGCAGCTCGAGTTCAGGAAGAGGTAGAACGAGAATGGAGACGGAAAGAGAAGGAAAAAGCTTTAAAGAAATTGGAAGCTCGAAGAATTCTTCAGAAAGAAAGAGAGGAACAAGTAAACAATAAGCGAATAATGCAAGCTATCGAAATCGAACGAGAGAGGCGAGAATTTGAGAGGATTGTACGTGTACAACAAGCAGCTTTTTATAAAGAAAAGAAGGAACTCGAACAAAAGCAGCAACAGGCTTTAATTCATCGCAGTGAAATATTAAAACAGGTTTGTATCATTTATCTTCGTATATCTGAAAAAATATATATATTAGTTGATATATTGGTTGATATATTGGTATATATATATACAACAATATGTATTTTTTATACAACACAGTATTATATTATATTATTCACTTATTTCACTTGAGTAGGTAAATGAAAAAGAACGAGAACGCATTGTTCAGCGGCAAAAAGTGTTCGAAGAAGGCCTGGCAATACGTACTAAAACTGCAATGCGTAAGAAGAAATTACAAGATGCGATGGAAAGAAAATGCCAACAAATGAGAGAAAACAAAGTTCCCGAAATTTATATTAATGAAGTGAAACGAATGATTGAAACTATTGAATGAATTATTTCATCAAGCTAAGAAATAAATATAAGATTTAAATCTAATATATAAAAAAATAATAAATTACGTATATCTTTGATTTCATTATACATATACGTGACAGATTATATAAAATATAATCTAGCATTTGATTAGAACTTTTAATTTTAATATAGCTTTTTTTCTTGTAATTATGTTTGTACATTATATATGTTAGAATTTTTACATAGCTATGTACAAGTTTATAGAAAATTTAATTTTGCAATCTTTCATTAAGTCTTTTTTGTGACACATCACTTCCATATCATTAGAACGTTCGGATCACGTTCGATAATATCTTCAATTTGCGCGGCAGACTGGCCCGTGCTACAGCATATTTCATCGAGGCTGTAGGTTCCTGTGAAATACTTGTAAATTGGATTATTTTTTGCTTCTTCGCTGCAAGATGCGCCAGGAAGAAGTACGGGATACTGTAAGAGATGATTAAATTAATATACCGTTATATAGTACACACTGCAATGTGAAAGCTACTCACATTATATACCCTTCTAATAAGTCCTTCAATCAAGCCAAATTGTACTAATCTTCTTTCATTTATTCTGAGGTTTTGTGGATTGAGACGTTGACATAAGTCTTTCATACTGACGCCGTAAGTCATACTTGAATACATACGATAAATATCTCTAAAATATGCAGGTTGTCTAGCTATAAACAAAAATCATCTAGCTTTTATCGCGATTTTAAAACAATAATCATAACGCGTTGAAAAAATCACTCACCTAGTTTAGAAGCGTATACTATACATCTTTCCTGTAATTTTACATCATCCGGCAATTTTCGTAATTTTGGTGTCACTGCATAGACGTTGCTATATTGAAATATTGGGATCAGTGTTACAACTCCGTAATATCTGCAAGCAGAAGAATGTCATAATATAATCAATAAGGAAATGCTATTTCTCTTGTCAAATATCTCGTACACAAGATTTTGCACGCAGCTTTTGACTAAATTATTCTCTACGTCGGCCTCAGCCGCTATGCGTGCCACATGATTAAAGCCGTCGATATAAGGCAATACTTGTTGCGTGGTCAAATCCCATTGATCATTCTGGAATGTATCCCTATCTTCCAAAAATATTGGTACTTGATGATCAAGAACTGGTTTTGGCTCAGGTGCCAACCTCACAACTTTCAAATGCGATGTCATTGTTCCTTCTAATAAAATATCACACATGACATATTATGATGAGACATTTTAAATATATATGAAATTTACCAGTCAATGTACACATTTTGTGCAGATTCAAATCCTGCATGACTTGTGCGAGCATCTCTGCCAATCTAGTCTTGTCATCCGATGCAGACAGAAAGCAATTCTCTATTTCCAGAGCCATCTGGCACATGAAAATTAGATGTACAAATTGCTATATATTCAGAATATTAAAGGCATAGAAAAATCAATAAAAAAACTTACCAAGAAATCCGACATCTTCTTAACCACTGGTTCATAATGGACAGTGCGAGCGTTTGCATCACAAACAAAACATAAGTTGAAGTAAAATGCATTTCTTGCGTATTTTTTATCATCAATCTTCACGGGAAAACCTAAGATTTTATAGTCCTTTAGTGTGCTAAAAAAAAAGAAAGTTCTTAAATAAAACATAAAGAATTTGACCAGGTAACTTTTTTTTGCATTTTTACTTAAACTTACATTGTAATGGTGCTTCTTTGTAATTGTGCTTTTGGTATAATGTAAACACTGACATTATCGAAAATATCCTTAGATATGTAATTATCAGGCACCTGTAAAATAATTATCGTAAATTAAAAACATAAACAGAATATTTAATTATTTACATCTTCACAATACATAACCTAACCTGGCATGTAATTTTGGGTCCCGCTATATGATGAAATTCAGCAAAGAATATACATCTAATGGGATCTTCTTGTTCCTTGTCCTCAACATTTTCCAACGAAGTAGATGCCATTGTCTTTATGCCTCTTTATTAAGATTTGAAAACCTAGTTAAAGAAAGAACTCTCATTCATCCGGTATCATTTAAAGTCAAATGCACTGCTGCCATCTAACCAATCTTAACACGTGTAAGTAAACTAAATTGAACAACAGCTGACAACACGTGCTTGAGATGCCGAATTAAACACATCGAGGCATGTTTTTGGAAAGAGTATTTCAAGTATACACATCTTCTTTTAATTTTGTAATCTTACAAAGATGAGTAAAAGGAAGCTCGACGACGAGACTGACACCGCTCTGGCGGATGTTGAGGTCAAAAGAGTTCTATCTCGTTTTAAATCGGACACTGGCGAAGTTTTATCTGATGGCTTGTTGGACCTGCCAGTTGATATCACTGTGGATAAATTGCAAGCAATTTGCAATGCTTTGCTGCAGCAAGAAGAGCCGTTACCTCTAGCATTTTATGTAAATAATGTAGAAGTTACAGATGTATTAGAGAAGTATGTTGGCAAAGATTTCAGTATCAGTGAGGACGTAGTGGAGATTATATATCAGCCACAGGCAGTATTTAAAGTCAGAGCTGTCACGAGATGTACTGGATCTTTAGAAGGTCACCAGCAATTCCATGCAGCACTTTATATCCAATAAAACGAATATTTATAAATGTATTCTGCTTATACAGGTCACAAGGAAGCAGTTATATCCGTTGCGTTTTCACCGGATGGCAAACATCTAGCCAGTGGTTCTGGTGACACGACAGTCAGATTGTGGGATATCTATACGCAAACGCCGCATTATACATGTGAAGGTCATAGACACTGGGTCTTGTGTATTGCCTGGTCGTCCTGTGGAACTAAGCTAGCATCTGCATGTAAAAATGGCTTGATTTATTTATGGGATCCCAACACTGGCAAACAAATAGGTAGAGATAGAAAGTACATTCATCTAGCTTACTTTCTTCTCTGGCAGGAATTAACTTCTTTCCATATTTGTCAAAATAGGAAAACCCATGACTGGACACAGAATGTGGGTAACGTCTCTATGCTGGGAACCTTATCATAAGAATCCGGAATGCATGTATTTAGCGAGTTCGTCTAAGGACTGCGACGTACGAATTTGGGACACAAAACGAGCACAAACCTGTCGGGTTTTGTCTGGACACACGAAAAGTGTGACCTGCGTTAAGTGGGGTGGGAGCGGTCTTATTTATTCTGCTTCTCAAGACAGGACTATCAAAGTGTGGAGAGCGGAGGATGTATGTATCAAGGATTTAAAATTATTAGCATCCAACTATATTTTCAACTGATCAAATCAATTTCAGGGTGTATTGTGTAGAACCTTAGAAGGCCACGCTCATTGGGTAAACACTTTAGCCTTGAATGTCGATTATGTGCTTAGGACCGGGCCTTTTCAATTGGGATTGACTGCAAACAAAACAGACAGTCCATTAGAATATGCAAAAAAGCAGTATGAAACTGTAGGTGAAGAGAAGCTTGTGTCTGGATCTGATGATTTTACATTATTCCTATGGAAGCCAGAAAAAGAGAAAAAACCTATCGGTACATTATATGATTTTAACATACAATTAAATCAATTAACTGTAAGAAATATATTGTGAAAATATTTTTCAGCAAGAATGACGGGCCATCAGCAACTTATCAATGACGTTAAATTCTCGCCGGATGGTCGTTTAATTGCATCTGCATCCTTCGATAAGTCCATTAAACTGTGGGAATCTAATACTGGCACGTATATCGCTTCTCTAAGAGGTCACGTTCAAGCGGTTTATTCGATAGCTTGGAGTGCTGACTCTCGTCTGCTGGTCAGCGGCAGCGCAGATTCAACTTTAAAGGGTAAATACACTGTGAGACATACGAAAACTTATCAATTCAGGACCTTAGATAGTTGGAAGTAACATAATCCTTTCTATAGTTTGGAGTATAAAAACTAAAAAATTAAGTCAAGATTTACCTGGTCACGCTGATGAAGTTTATGCAGTCGACTGGTCACCCGATGGTCTACGAGTCGCTTCAGGTGGAAAAGACAAAGTTCTACGACTATGGCAAAATTGAATTGAATATATAATTCAAGTAAATAAATTTATAAAGAAAATTAAATATGTCTTTATCACTTATTTTTTAAATAAATATTATATATCAGTTATATGTATCAGTTAATAATATTATTAAGCCTGGATTAAAAATTATATATTTTTTATGAAGATATATCAACCCTGCATGTTACAAATGCAATTAAATTAACAGTTAATTTATTAAAGACTGGATTAATCTTAATAGAGAATGCAATTAAAAAATAAATCAAGTGAAGTTTGGTTTTAAGAATAAGATTATATAAAAATTCAAGGAAAGTTATGTAAAGTGTAATTCGTACAATCAATTAATAATTATAGGAAAGCAATACATAAAACTTCGATTATGCAATAACGATGACTGTTCAATTAAAATTTCCTCATTTTGCGTTCTTGCTAATTTTGCGGCACTCGTATTCGCAAACTCTGTTTCCTTTTTCACAGTAAATCGATTGCCGTGAAATTTTCTTTTAGTTTTTCTATCAACATGTTTTATAGATTTTCTAGAATGACAATCCATTTCTTACAGGCTGCTTTCTGTTTCACTTATAACCTTTTGATTCGAAGTTCAAAACAATACTGAGCGATTTTCTCTGCGTCCTAAATACCAAAACAGAATCGGAATATAAAAAGAGATAGAGTAGGATGAGGAATAAGAACAGTAGGATGGGGAATAAGAGCAAGGAGATTTGAACATAAAATAAAATCAGGGAGGATAGGAAATTTGACAAACGCGAATTGAAAATTGAAGAAAAGAAAAAGAATGGATGGGGGGATGTATACGGACAGGAAAGGATGAGGTATAGAAGGCAAGAGAAGTGATATACGAGAAGTAAGGTTTTGAGGATCAATTAATAAACAGGCAAAGAGAGGTGCAAAGACAGTGGGAGAACTGTAAAATTCATAAGACAAGATACAACGAGAGAGATATAAGGAAATAGAGGCAAATGACAGGGTTCCGGAATATTTGAGAAAAGAAAACTTAGGGGAAGGGAAAAGAGGAGAAAAGGTGAAAGCCTTGTTCAAATTAAGATATGGGAACTTGGAGGAAGATAATAAATATTGGGTAGAAGAGCACAGGAAAAAGTGTATATTCTGTGGTAAGAGAAAAGATAATTTAAAGCACTATATAGAGGAATGTTCGGAAAATAAGAGAAAGGTTTACTAAATTAGGAAAAGATAAGCAAGAAATCTTAAGGAAACTGTATGATAAGGATTTAGATGAAGTGAAAGGAGAAATAAGAAAATTATGGAAAGACAGGGAACAAGCAAAAAAAAGAAGAGAGATGAGGAAGGAGTCAAAAAAGGATAGGGAAGAAATATATAGGTAGAGTGATGGTATGGAGAGAAAAGGAAAATAAGTAAGATGAGTATTGCCCGTATTCATAGTCAGGCCTTACATTTAAGGCTTCCTTAAATTTATCTTCAGATACTGTACGAATTATTTCATTGACTGCTGAGCATCGAAAGATAAATTTAAGGAAGCCTTAAGTATAAAGTCTGACTATGAATATGGGCATAAGATATAAATATGTGATAATAATAGGCGGTGATATAGAGATAACGTATGTATTGAACGAGAGTATATAACATTAGAAGCAGATATAGCTATGAAAGAAAAGCGGATAAAGCGAAAAGAAATAAAGTAGGTAAAGAAGCGAAGTCAGAGGGTTTAACCAGGAAAGTAGGAAAGTAAAGGCCTTAAGCATAAAAAATTTATAATATATGTGCGATAGCTTGCGGACGAGATATGGAAGTGTGAATGAATTAAGTATTTATGTAAACCAAGTCCTCTTCTTGGTTGTATATGCTGAAGTGTAATAAATTCTACTCTATTCTATAAAAAGAGATAAAAATAAGCAGATGTTCCTTTGTTCGAGTAATAACAATCGAAGATCTGTACAACGGACCAAAACTCTAGCACGCCTAATCTCTATCTACCATTTTAGAAAACAATGAATAATTCAGTTATTTTACATTATTCCTGTGAACGGCTTTGGTAATATATTTTCGAGACTATCAACTTTTCGAAAATGCAATTAAAAAAAAATCGATTTTTTTTGATCCGACAAACTAGAATATCCCCCTAGGATGCTCCAATCGGGTGATCAGGTTGCGCAAATATCTGCCGATTGATAGCATCCTCGTGCGAAATGCGAACGTACTGCGCACGCGACTGCGCACGGGACGTGACGGGACACCGTCGAAGCCGTCCAGAAGGTCCAGAGGCTCCTGATGTCTGGACTGATGATCGAAAAATGACGTCTGATAAGTGAAGATCTAACCTCCCTTGTTTTATATATTTACCAATATATTTACACTGCATTTTTTGTGCACGTTGCAACACCTCCCACAGAGGCTACCATGGTAAAAAGATTCGAGCGATCTCGCTGTATCCGCGATAAAAAGATGGCACGCCCGTGTCTTATTTTATCGGGATACCGCGCAGAGCTTGTCAAATGCGTGAGAAAAATGAAGGAGAAATTTGCGAAAAGTGCGCGATTTCTAGGACGACGATGCGGTCGCTTTGCAGAATCTGGAACAGCTCATGACGGAGTTCTTCTGCCCGGAGACGACAAACGAGAGGAAACGCACGATTGAGCGCAGCTTTCAGGAGTTCGCCGGGCAGATCGACTCCTGGAAACCCTGTCTACATTTTTTGTCCTCCACGAGCAATCACTATGTCAGTATGTTTGCTCTGTCCACTTTGGAGGTAATTACGCAAGTCACTTTACAGATAAAAACATAGGATAGAACTTTACAGCAAGACACAGTATATGTTTTTCATTTAGTGACAAGTCAATACAATAAGCATCAGTCTTTGAATATTTTCTATTTACTAACACAAGACATCTTTCTTGGCAGAAAGTAATAATGAATAACACTTGTATCTACTTGTGTTACTTAATGGAAAGCATTCAATGTAATACAATGAATCATTATATCCTTGTTGTTTGATAATATTAAGCAAAGATGAAATAATTACTGTATTGTACTGTATGCCTTGCTGGAAAGCATCAATAATATTGTTTTCGGTGATGCGATACTTCTCAGACTGAATTATTTGACAGACAACTATCAGCAGACGATGGCCCATTCTTCCCTGGGAAGATAGAGCTCTTACAAGATCCACTTTGTATACACTGTCATTGGAAAGAGATGTTGCGTCTTTTGTGAGAAATAAAGTAGTCAAATTGGTAGTGGATATAGCGAGACACGACTGGCCGCATTTCTATCCAGATTTTTACTCTAATATTTTACAGGTTTGTGAATAGAGAATATCTTTCTATATATTAAAATATATAATATGAATTTGGCTATATATTTGGCTATATATTGCTCTCTGTGAAACAGTTGCTAAGCCATAAACACACAAGACTGCTGGGACTCGTATATTTGAGAACAGCTTCAGAAGAACTAGCCACGCCGAGAGAGGATTTACCAATGCACAGGAAAAGCGAGCTGTTCAGATTATTAAGTGCACAAGTGCCTCTAACTTTGGATACACTTACAGGTATATTACCAAAGTTGAGGATACTTTATAAACATGTATATGTAACATACGAAATTATGAATGATTTCGTAATTCACTTTGTTACTTTTAATAGTTCTTTTGAAAGAAACTACAAAATTGCAAAGCCGTTCTGGGACAGTGACACCACCTCCATCACCTACCAGTGGACAAAGTCTTGCACCTGCACGTGCAGTACTAGATGTCGAGGGATTAGCAATAGGTACTAGTGAAGTCTGCACAGCTACTCTTGAAGTTCTAGCACATTTGTTTAGTTGGATAGATGTATCAGGCAGTATTTCTACTAACTTATTAGATGCCATTTTTTCATGTGCCAAGTATCACGATGCAATGGTAAGATTTTATTTTCATGGAAGAATACATGGAAGAATATATAGTAGCAGATTAAATTATGTATTTGTTAACGTTTTCACAGAATAGCAAGCAAATTGAGATGGCGGTTCAAGCTTTAACTACAATCAACGAGCTTTTATACAGACCATTTTGTTCGCCCGACGCAACTGACACCTTGTTATTGGAGATATTTCAGAATGGTATTGGTTTATTCCAGTTAATGGAACGACTGGATTCGGTAGAGGAGAGGTACGCCAAATGCATTCTCAAAGAACCTTGATAAGTTCTCATATACGAAATAAAATTTTCATTCTTTCAGCTACATGGAAAAAATGACAGAGTTTTTGCAATTATTTATAACAAATCATATGAAAAGGATGGAATCGAGCTCAAAGTTTCCAGTAAATACATTATTGGAAGTACTGTGCCACCATACATTCCAACAAGCTTCTACTGTAAATGGATATTTGCGTTGTCTAGATGTTTGGACAACTCTTTTGGAGAGCACTCAATCGCGATATTCTGCCGTCGCCTTAGCTCTTGCGGAACGGATTTTACAAAAAATGAGTTTTAAGCTCAATGCTCGAGTATTGAGAGATCTCGACACGGAAAGTCTAGACGAGAATGTAAGTTTAATTACAAAGTGCTGTATAAACTTTTACTTAAATTAATAATTATGCCTGTATTATAAATATAATTATTAGTAGTAGTTAAATATTATATAAAATCTGTTTTTCATTCCTGCATTAGATTGCATTAGAATTATTTTTCTCATTTTCAATCGAATATCAAACATATATTTATTTTACTATAAGTTCCAAAAGTGTAGTTCCACTAGTCCAGCCACAGAAAACAGACTCCTTGATAATTATTATATATATAATTGTTAATATTTATATATTAAATATAACAATTATATATTATTATATATATAATTGTTATATTAATATATATTTATAATTATATTTATATTTAAGAATATTAAATAAATAATTATATCAATAAAATATAATTAAATAATAATCAATAATTATATCAAAATTTTATATATATATATATATTTGTAAAAAATTTCATGATCTTTTTTTCAGGAAGAAACAGAGTGGCAACACTTTCTAAGATGCAATATAGAATGTTTGGCAAAAATTGCTGACATCTCACCTATCCCGATATTTACGCTATTGGTAATTTTTAATTGGCAAAATATATTTATGTATTTATTATGAAAATATTTATAATATTGGATATTTTTTAGTACCGTTCGTGGAGAGAAGGATTAATTATTTTCGGTGAATTAGGCGCGGCAGTTGCTAATGGCCAAGTTATTTTATTAAATGATACAGAGGCATCAAATGTGCATGCACATCTGAGAGATCTTGCATCAACTACACAGGCTTTAACTAGACTATATTCTCTTTTCATCGGTAAGTAGTGATTAATGATTTATCAGTTTCTGATTCTACAAAAAAATATAATTGTCTGTGTCAATAGGAGATCAAACAAATATCGATCAAAGCTTAGCAGAGGAAGTTGTATCACAAACTCTGGAGGCGTGTATGTTTGCGAGAGATAATCAGCTGTATAAAGCGGCGATCCAACCATCTGCTATCGTAATAGATCTCATAGAAGTGTAAGTTCTTGACTATCTCTTATATGTTTTTATATGAACAATCAATAATATATAGTATAATATCATAACGATGATGTACTTGTTATGTATTGATTTGCGCTATTAGACATTCACAGCTTTTGGCTTCTCTTCAAGCATGGTGTCACTGGATAGCCAGAAGACCGGAAAAGGCTAAGGAAGCGCTCTGTCAGCGTTGCATCGATTCGTGTGTTTGGGCAACGACGTACACTGCGTCCTGTGATCATTCACCTCCTGCAAATCTGATTCACTCTGCCATTCATCTTTTCCAAAGTATCACCGCCATTTTAAAGCCCATCTTATGGGACCAACCAACTTTCCGGAATCTAATTTCTATGGGCACGTATCCGTATTTGAAATCAGATACAATTAAAGTTCTACGTAGGGCGTTGATAAATGGGATTATATTACCACCTGGTGATGCAGCAACAAGGCAAAGGTTGTTGGGTAAGACATTATTTCGTAAAACTTTGCAACTAATCATCTTTTTCTTTAACAAAAATATATAAAAATTTGAAATGTTTTGCTCTTAGGTACTATGATATTAGCTCTGTCAGCACCTTTGGGTATGCAAGGACAACCAGTGCCTTCTGAATCGACAATTTCGATTACGATAATACCACTGACTCAGCTATTAGAAGATTGTGCGTCATCGTCAACGATTATAAAAAAGATGTTGCATTCATGTTTAGAATCAATAATAAACAGGACATTAGAATTATTATCTTATGTGATAAGGTGTCAGAGTATATGTGAATTATTACTTAGCTTTCTACACTCGGCATTTTCAGTATTACAACAACAATTAGGTCCTGAATTTATGCAAAATGCGGTTCAAGGCATGCTGCAACTTTATACCAGGTTTGTATAAAGTATTATAACATGAAAGCAAAGAACTATTTAATTCTCAAAAAATAATATTAGATTATTATCCAAATAATAAAAATGTTCGTTAATTCGTTTTTTTATTTTACTAAATAATACTTTTTATTTTATTTTATTTTATTCACTTATATTAAATTTTTCCTGAAATTAGGATTAAAATAAAAATTTTTATTAGTATTTTTAATTAGAAAATTATATAGTTTGTTATAGAATCTTAAACAGAAAATGTATTGCCTTCTAAGGATTGAATGTCACGATTTTAATAAAATATATAAATCTCATTCATAGGGAAAATATTTCTGCTGGTCCTGCATTGGATCAGTTATTGGAAATTTTAATACTCGTCGTATCAGCACCCAGCAATGCATTTAAAGCATTTGTTCCTTCAGTAACAAATCTGTGTTTAGGTCAAGTATGGCCTGCTATTGGAAACAATCTAAGTGCTCATCCAGATACGACGTTAGTTTTATTGAAACTCTTTCACAGGTAATATATTGGTAGTATGATAGTACACATATCCTTTTTTTTATTTAAAAATCACAAGCTTTGTATTACTTTTTAGTATTCTTATGCACCGATGGCAGTATTTCTATAATACTTCGGTATTGCGAACTCTTGGACATCCTGAAGAAGATGAACCTGTCGAACACAAAGAAGAATTGGTAGCAATTTTGGAGGCTTTTGGTCAAGCTCTACTTCAGTCAGATGTCAATATATTCCGACAGAGCTTGCAGAGCCTTGAACAATTAAATATCAGATGGCGGCTTTACCAACGGGCTGTATTCAAGGTTCATCTTCTCGAAAGATTTTTGATGGCACTATTCACAGTTTTATTTCAACAGTGGGTATCGATATTCTTTTTACTGATATTAACTTATATTAATAATATGTTCATTTATGCCTTGTTTAATTTACAGATCCCACAATTTGTTGGCAGACGAGATAGCTGCGGCTATTCACAGTTTAGCATCTGTTAACATAGGATGGTTCTTTGGCCATTTTTTGCCAACATTCTTGACAACTTGTGAAGGCGTAGACGATATGCAAAGAGTCACCTTATTGGAAAACTTTGATAAATCCACGGTATGTTATCCTTAATAATTCGATAATATCAAAAATAAGTACGCATTAAAATTATATAAACAATTTATATCTTCTTTTTTAGGATCAACCAACTTTGACTAGATCAGTACTCCAGCTCATTTCAGACTTAAGATGTTATCAGCTGTGTAGACCAGGTTAAAAGCAAATTACAATTCGAAACGATATTCACAATGAAATTATTCCATAAGACTTCTACAGTGGCATTTAAATGAAATCAACATTTCCACCGAATCTCTCCTACGAGTGCCTCTAGATACCGATACAAGAGACATTTAATTGTAATGAAACGAAAAAAGACAAACGATAAACCTTTTGTAAAGATTTACCATTCTGTGTATACCACTGCCGCACCATCTTTTTGTGATGTTATAAATGTTATTTCGAATAAAACGCGTCTTTTTATATGTCTATAATCGTCTGTTTTTTTTTATATATAGAAAGATTTTCTAATTATATTTATTATTCCAAATTTTACAGAAATATTTTTTCTAATAAAACGGATAAACGCTAGAAAATGATACGTGCTTTATCACGAAAATTCAAGTTGCTAATAGTACAACTTATTTGTATCATTACTGCTGTGTTCAGATACAGCGCTAAGATAAGATATTTTTGTGTTCTTATCACCTTTCTCGCCTCTCTCTCTTCCTCTAGAAATATTCCGATAACCCAGGCAATTTATTGACTTCGTGCTCAGTTAGTCAATAACAAACGACTGACAATGTTGCATTTATTATTACGAAAAAGTGGTTGCCATATTTCCCAATTTCAGATGACGAGATACTTAGTGACCGATCCGAAATATGGATTTTTAAAACAATTAGGTATCAATATTGAAAATCCCGGTCTCTATGACGGGAGATGGGGTGGATCTGGCAAGGTATGTGACATTAATCTCGTCTTAAATAATTAATTTTGTCGAAATAGAGTGATTACATTATAGAAGTCTGAGAGAATCTTAAATAAATTACATTATAATATGAAGAAACATTAAGCAATATATCACAAAATAAATAAATACAAATAATTAAACTGATATCAAATACAGTTGATAGAATCAATATCGCCGGCGACCGGCAAAGTGATAGCAAAGGTTCGTGAGTCCACGCCGCAAGAAGCTAGCAATGCTATAACAGAAGCACGTAAAGCGTGGCCACAATGGGCATCCATACCGATGCCAGCCAGGGGAGATATTGTACGGCAAATTGGAGACGAGCTCAGAAGACATTTGGAGCCATTGGGACGCTTAGTATCCTTAGAAATGGGTAATTAAATCATTTCAGTAAGCATTATAATTTTACTCGCTGTAACGAATATAATTAAGTCCCGTAATTGTAAGTCGGAATGTCTATACCATATAGATCTATTTATAATTAACATAAAGTGTATGATACCATAGGCAAGATATTGCCAGAAGGCATAGGCGAGGTCCAGGAATTCATTGACATATGCGATTATGCGGTCGGCTTGTCACGAACATTACCCGGCAGCATATTTCCATCGGAGAGAAAGAACCATGCGCTACTAGAGAAGTGGAATCCTTTGGGCGTAATCGGCGTTATCTCCGCATTCAATTTTCCTATAGCAGTGAATATAATTCCCAGAGAATCTTGTAATCACTCCACTTAAGAGCTTACAATTTATTTTAATTTATTGCCTTTTAAGGTATACGGCTGGAACAGCGCTATCGCTTTGGTTTGTGGTAACACCGTCGTCTGGAAAGAAGCGTTGAGTACACCTTTGATAGCCATCGCAACCACTAAGATAATCGCGAGCGTCTTGGAGCGCAATGGTATTCCAGGTTCTGTCGCATCCTTGATCACGGGTGGACCAAATGTCGGAGAGACTCTGGTAAACGATAAACGGTCAGTTCCGATCTAGACTTACTATATTATTATGTACGTCGTACTGAACAGGTTATTAACGATTGTTGTTAGGGTACCTCTCATTTCGTTTACTGGAAGTACGAACGTAGGAAGACAAGTCGCTCTCAAGATTCAGGAAAGATTTGGAAGATCTCTACTGGAACTTGGTGGTAACAACGCATTAATTGGTATATGTCTCCTTAAAATATCAATTCCGTAATATCACCTATACCATGGATAACGTATTTGTAATTATTTCTCCTTGATCAATAGTCGCACAGGATGCCGATTTAGAAATGGCAGTGAGAGCAGCAGTGTTCTCATGCGTTGGAACAGCTGGACAAAGATGTACCACTACCAGAAGATTAATATTGCATAAGAAAATAAAGGACGAATTTCTAGGTAGGTATAAATACAAATGAGAAAATGTTTAGTTATCATTACATAGAAATTTTTAGGGAAATTAAAAACGGCATATAAAAGCATAATGGACCGAGTCGGAGATCCATTGGATGATGGTGTGCTGTATGGACCATTGCACAATCAGCCAGCGATTGACGCATATAAAGTATGTGCATCAATTATCTTTTAAACAAAATAAAACGAAAATTTATCTTCTTCTTTTAGCATGTATGAAAAAAAAAATCTTTTTGACTAATTCAATACTTTTCACTGTAGGCAGCAATTCAGAAAGCTATAGAAGCCGGTGGCACGATAGAATTCGGTGGAAAGCAAATACAGCGACCCGGTTTCTATGTTGAGCCAACAATCATTTCGGGTTTACCAGCTGGAGCTGAAATAGTGCAACAGGAAACTTTTGCTCCAATCGTTTACATCTTAGAAGTAAATTCTCTGGAGGAGGCTATTGACTTTAACAATGGCGTTGAGCAAGGACTGAGCAGTAGTCTTTTTACTAAAAGTATTGGAAATGTATTTCAGGTAAATGTGTAAAAATTCATATGCTGTTGGCAAATGCGTTACAATATCAATTAATTTATACAATGTATAATGGAATATATTATTTATCGAATTCCATTCGTCATACAGTGGATTGGCCCTCATGGATCAGATTGTGGAATAGTCAATGTCAACATCGGTACTAGCGGTGCCGAGATAGGCGGCGCGTTTGGTGGTGAAAAGGCCACGGGCGGAGGTCGTGAGAGTGGAAGCGATGCTTGGAAACATTATATGCGACGTGCCACCGTCACGATCAATTATGGAAACGAGCTACCTTTGGCTCAGGGCATCCAGTTCGAATAAATTAAACAGGCATAGTTTTTTTTTTTTAAATGAATTAACGCTTTAATTCAAATCGTATAAAATCCACCTGAATATCGACAGACGCTTTTTTGTGAAATTTGTAAGCCCTCGGCAAATCGTATCTGAGTTCAGCTATCACTGTTCCTCTTGCGCCGAGCTGTGTCGCTTTTGATAGAACGTAATCTCGTGTGCTGCTTTTATGCAGAGAGTAAACCGCATTAGACGAAAGCCTGATTGCTGCTTCCAGGAACTTTATGTCAATGCCGGCGTTGTTTTTAGTACCAAAGGGTGGATTCATTATAACAGTATCAAAGTATTTTTGAAATTTTCCTGTAACATGAGATAATACATATGTATTTTTATATTTATATTGTAATAAATATAATCAATAAGATATTTATATTTGTAACAAAAGTATTAACAATAGGCCCAAAAGATTAAATCCAATGATATGTAAATGCCAATACGAGCCAACACAAAATATTAATGTGTAATATAATCAATAAGATATTTATATTATATCATAGTCAATGTTAACTTTAGTAAATATATACATTTATTTTATACATTTATTTACATTTTTGTAGTTTGTATAGTCAATGTATACATTTGCCAATGACGCAACATCTCAAAACGGGACAGAGCCTACCTCTCACGAGATTTTTGCAACAATGGATTATTTTCTGGGAAATTAGGTTAATCTAATATTCAACTTTTAAGCCTGGGAGAATCTATACATATATCCACTGATATAGAACCTACAGTTTAACGCCGGATCCGAACGGTGCTGATGATCAAAGCTCTCTTAATCACCAGATGGAATCATTTTTGGTTCCTTAAAATATGAAAAATCGCATATGTGGGATTGAACCCGGATCTACAGATTGTGAGTCAATCGCATTGATCAGCAAGCCACTCGACGTCTCAGCCTAATGTACATTTACTAAAGTTAATATTTTGACTGACATATGTATACAGGGTTGGCCATATTCGACGGAAAGATGTTTTTTTTTCAATCATGGGAAACGTCGTTACTCGATCTAACATCTCTTTCTCATGATTGAAAAAAAAAACATCTTTCCGTCGAATATGGCCAACCCTGTATATAGATACCTGGTAAATATTGCAACACATCACACTGTACGACTTCAACAAAAAGTTCGATGTCACTGCAATTTCTATGTTGTATATCAACTGCCTCAGAATCTATCTCAAATCCAAGTACATATTCAGCACCAAGCATCTTTGCACCTAACGACAATGTACCACATCCAGAACCCAGATCAGCCACGCTTTTACCTTTTATATCGTCAAACTGCGACTGTGCAGTGTACAACAAATGTGCAGCAATATGTGCACTGGTGGCATATTGCTCGAGTGTGACTTTTGGGTTTTCAAACACATCCAGTTGCTGTAGATAATCCTCTAATTGACGAAGTCGAAGTCCAGTCATTATTTACTTGAAGATTGTGATTTCTCACAGATTCTTGTTACAACAAGTATTTATATAAAAAGGCAATCTAATTTCTTGACATAAAAGATTCTCGTTAATGTTGTTGGCATATAGTCTTTAGTAATTTTTGTCTATGTGTTTATACATTCAAAAGAGATGACTCATTTATTATCAAACCTAGGGAGAACCGGTAATATCAGATTCCCAAAGGAAGAGTCCTGCGTAACGAAATAACCAAATGAAGCTGCGTGTGCATTATGCAATGCTGCTCTTGCTGATGCAGTCATTGCTACTCCATCATTGGATTGTGTTGCAGCCTATAAAAAAATTATATGCACATCTAAAGACCTGTTTTTTACAATTAAACTTACAAAGTTTATTTTTTCTGTTTTCATCTCCATATTAAAAATAAAAAAGAAAGATAAATGGTACAAGAAATTTAGCTAAAAAAAAAATGGAACAGGAATATTTTTTTAATTATCGTTGACAAAGAATATTTACTATATTTGATACAGAGCCAGTTGACGAGACTCCCAATGTGTTTAAGGTTGGTGCGACTCCTTGTTTCAGAAGCATCTGCTTCTTCAACTGCAGCTCCTCTAAGATCTTTCTATTCTGCAATTCTATAAATAAGAGCAAAGTGAGAAATATGAAAAATGTATAAAATATAAAATAATAAGGATATTGAGTTCTCATTAGAATTACCTCTTGCGTTCGGTTGTGAAAAAGCCATCAAATTTACATGAACAATTCAATAATATTTAAAATAACAATCGTGTATATAGATGTGATCGTGTGTATAGGTTATATTTTTATTAAACTTAACCTTCGCAGGTGATCTCAGAAACAAATCTTTATTACTAAGCGTCTCATTGGATCAAATTGCAATTGATCACCGACCAGATTAAAAATTGGACATTTTACGGGAGTTTACGTCCTTGTTAAAATTTAAAAGTAAGAAACTGACAGCACAGTATTAACTTAATGATTTATTAATTTCGTAGACACGTTCATATATTTAAAACTCAATAATACACAATTTTTATTTAAAATTGTGATTTTAATGTTATCTTCCGAGTTGTGATTATCAACGTATGATTAAACTGTGGTTCCGCGAAATATCATCAAACGGCGCCAGCATCGCTCAAACGGTTCGAAATTTAGTGGAAACTCGAACGACGGCGGGGACCGCGCATGCGTCGGAAATGCGCAGCCGCAAGACGCCACCTTGCGGGGGCCAGTTCGATCGCAGAAGTGATCCCGAGGTGTTCACGATAGTTGGCGGTCGTCCCGGTTTTCACGCGATAAATCTTCTTCGTCGCTCCCGACTCAAGCTGTCCCACGGTTATCGCTGCTCCGTGAAACAGACGTGAGTATCCGCTCAAAGGGTTCGATTACGGATTGCAAAATATACGAAGGTATGAACCCTAGGGGCGCGGAATCTCGAGGGGGGGCGTCGAAAGCGAGGGCCGGTGACGAGAGAGAAGCGGTGGCGGCGGCGATGGTGGTGGCGGTGGCGGCGGTCACAGACGAGTGACGGGTTCTGGCAAAATGGCCGTGCGCGATATACAACAAACGGTCATCCCGCATGTCGCGACGGTGTTCGATACATTCGTTCGAACCGTCGGGCACGAGAATCGCGTTGATAGTCGCTCGGACGGGCGTGCGCGCGCGTGCGCGCGCGCTTGTCCGACGTCGACGTTAGCGTTCTCGTCTCCGCGACGTCTCGAACATTGTTGTCATCGGCCACCGTCGCCGTCATCGGGGGATTCTTCTTGGAGCGCCCGGACCTTATCGTCCGTGGACGATGTATATGCAGGTCGCACGTCACCAGACGCGAATTGATTTTCTCCGTGAACTGGCCTCGCGTCACAATCGTCGTCAGTCGTGCGTCGCGCAGCAACCTTCTCCGAGAGACGTCTCTCGGTGACGGCGACGGCGCAGCATCCTTATTTTGTCGGCGACGCGTGAGCTACTTTGACAGATAGTCCTTTCCGATAATGTACGATCAGCTGTCATTGCGACTTCGCTCTCTCCTCTCTCTTTCTGTGTGTTTGTTTCTGTCTACCTGTCGATCGAGGACGCGCGAAGCGAGCCCGAGACCTCGGGCTCCATCATCGATCGCCGATGCCATTTCCATTGCATTAAATATCTCTCTCTCTCTCTCTCTCTCTCTCTCTCTCTCTCTATTATTCTCTATTCTATTCTATCTATCTCTTAGACTGCGTTTCGAAAACTTTATCCGGGTGCACTCACATATCATTTTACCCCTGATCTCCAAATGTGTCTCTAATTCCTATTTCATCAAGATTAATTTTAATATTGGTTACCCTTCATTTTTTTCCAGGTCTAAGAATTAGAAAAAGAAAATAAATAAGTTGAACTGAGATTAAAGTTAATCTATGTTGATAGAAATGGGCATAAAACTTTTAAAGTAAATCTCACTCTTAAAGATTGAAAATTGAGTCAGTCTTGAAACAGAGTGGCTCAATTTTCACTCTTTAGAGTGAGATTCTTACTACAAAGGTACTACAATGATTAAATAGTACATGAACCGAGATGAAGTTTCTGAACACAGTTTTGTCGAGAGGGATGGCATAGTCGAGCTGTTTATTTCTAGTTCGCAGCATCAAATATTTGCGTGTTACAGATCAGTAGTGGCATTTCCTTGGAATATCTCGTCGGTTTTCCCAAGCATGTTTCTTACGACCTTGAAGCGGCCTACCATTAGCGCAATCGGAGCACTTCCCGATACCGCGGAACGGTCGATACCTTCGGCGAAGCCAGTCAACGTTTCTTTTCGGATTACGAGCTTCTTAGACGCGCGATGTGCCAATTGTTTTCTTCTTTGCTGCATCGATCGTAGCTTGTTTACTGTACATACAAACTGCATACATCTTGTCCACGACACGCATACGTCAACTTTCTAGATGTCGTCACTCATGCAATCGATTTTTGCTTTTGTAGAATAATTCTTACCATCGTTGGATGGCAAAAAATTTTGCACTTAAAATGAGATAAATATTCGAACATCGAAGACAGATAATACAAAGATGCTGAATGCAAAAGTGCAAGCAACGCGAACAGACCTATGGACTCGCGATCCTCTGGATAGAAGTAATTGTATAGAACGATGCGATTGTCTGGATATGATACAGAGTGCAAGAGACACAAATGACACAGTGTAAGGCCGGAATCAGATTACACATTGAAAATTGAGATTGAAGATTGAAGATTGAAGATTGAAATTTGATTAATGAGGACAAGGAATTTTAGCTCCTATTTTGATTGGTCAAATTTCAATTTTTCAATCTCAATCTTCAATGCGTGTGTGTAGTCTGATTTTGGCCTAACACATTGAATCATTACATTATTATTATTGGTCAATGTTAAATAAAGATGATATGATTACTGTGTTAAGGAGATACAGTAGAAGAAATAAGGAATGATTTCAAACTACGTGAAACTGTATTCTGGTGTATCTGATTTTTGATAGGTTGAAATCGTTATTTCTGATTCCTTCTATTATATCTATATTCTTACATTTGTCTCTTGCTGGAAAGCATCATTGTTCTTGCTTCCTGCGATTACGAAAAGTTCGATCCTGCCTAATTACGCGACAAAGATGATGTCTTTTCCTTCGTCAGATTCTTGACAAATGAGTCACGTACAGTTTTGACGATTAAAATCTCGATTGTCTCTCGAATAAGAGATCCGAGACAAATTACTATCAAATTTTGCGCATTAATTAGCCACAAATCTCGAGATTCGAAGCTCTCTAAAACACAAAGTAGAAAAACGTGATCTCCTTCTTTCTTTCTCTTTCTTGAACTTGTCCTAATTAATCTAGGTGATTGGAAATAGCTTTCTAATATGTCATATATGTCCATTTCTACTAATGTAGATTATCTTTAATCTCTCAGTTCAACTTACTCTTCATCTTTTTCTAATTCTTAGAACTAGAAAAAGATAAAGAATTAGTTGAACCAAGATTAAAGTTAAACTACATCGGGCAATAGTTGCTAAGTAGACCACAGAGTTAGCTTTATCGACAAGTCACGCGACACTTTCATGTTTTGAGTTTTATAACGAGTTTTCATTAGGTAGTCGCACATCCTAGAGTTCCATAGAGGATCGACCTTCGCGCGATTTAGGTAGCTCTAATCTCCTGTCGATAACAGTCTCAACCGGTTGACGATTCCTATTCTATTTAATATGCTAATCCATTAATCGGCAGAAGCGTGAAACTATAGGTAGATATCGGAGTGCGAGGTCAGGAAAGTCGGCAGTCACTCACCGATGCGATGACGTTCCCGGAAACGTAATTATTACGAAGTCGATGGATCTTTCAATTCGCTAACAAGTCAGCGAATCGAAAGATCCATCGACTCGGTATATAAAGAAAGAGCGATTGGATATGATAAAAATTTACGACATTACCTTATGGATTAGCTCGTGTTATTATATTGAGATCTTTATTAAACAGCTGGACGTTTGCATGAAGTTAGAAGGGAGCCTACGATACAATTAGAAAAATATCTGGTGCGAACTAGAAGATTCTGATTATATTAATTAGAATTTCGATTATTTCCATCAGAATTCTAGTCTCTAAATTTTTTTAATTGTTTAAAATCGTTATTCTGAATAAAATGTCATTCTTAAAGATTGAAAATTGAAGCACTTTTTCAAGACTTTAATTTTCGCTCTTTAAAGTGAAATTCCAAAGAATTTCAAGAGTAGATTTAACCAGAAAATTTTAATTCTCTCTCTCGTCCACGCAACACACATTTTCAACTAGAATTCCAATTGATCCAATCAGACATTTTTCTCATTGTCAATGTATATATTATTGTAGCGTGTGTTGTGTCAATGTATGCATTATTGTGGCAGACTCGCGTGCGACATATTGGGAAACTAGAGTTATTAGATTTAAGAAAAGAAATATCTTTAAGTGAGCTAATGACCCAGCGTTGAATTAAGTAAATAGTTTCCTTGATTTTGTAATTTTCGTCATTCGTGATGTCTACAGGAAGTACTTTCAACACAGGAAAATGATAATTTCGCATAGATCTCTTATTTTTAGACTTAGGAGGGCCTTGACCGTCCAAGGATTGAATGGGCGAAGCCCACCTGAAAGAATTTCCCGCTTCTCGTAATGCTCATTACTGCGCTATTTGCAAGGACATCATAAATCATGTATAGCCTCCACTTACGCGATACTTTCAACTTTTCACGGCAAGTCGCAATCGTATACATTTACGTGCGGCGGCCAAGATCCAGTTTCTCAACCCGAGCATCGGTGCTCCTCGGTGACTAATATCGCTCCATTCATATTCCGAGCGTATGTCGTCGAAAGAGAGGTACATTCTTGCGTTTATTACACTGCTGCTCATTTCTACCAATAATAGATTAATTTTAATTTTAATTGAACTTGCTCTTACCTTTTTCTAATTCTTCAAATTAGGAAAAGATGAAGAGTTAATTGAATCGAGATTAAAATTAAATCAAATCATATTAACATTTTGATTATCTAAAAAATTATACAGAATTTTCATAAAATTGGAATGTCAGGGAATTTTGCAAATTTTATGGAAAATTAAAATTCTTGGCTTTAAAGAAGTTTAATATGCGTACATCATATCTGCGCAGTTTTTCGAATACTACCAACTTAACAATTAAATTCAAGTAGCACTCAGCAATATTAATAATAATTTACATTGTCATGTTAAAATTGTTAATTACTATCTCAGTAAAATATTTGTTGAGAGCAATTTTTAACACAGTTTCTACATCAGGATGAAAATATATAATATAAAATTTTGAAAGCATTAGAGAAAATTGATATTTTGAAAATTAGGAAAAAGTTATGAAATTTTAGAATGAGAAATTTGTGACAACCCTGTGACAGATTCAACTAGAAAATTCTGATTTATCCATTTTCAACAAGAATTCCAATTAATGTAATCATTCTTTCCAGTATACTCTTTCCAATTCATCCATGCGTCCTACAGTA